TTGTAATTGCTGTTGAAATTGTGCCTAAACAAGATGATAAGTAGTGCTGCATTAGTGAGACAATGGATGGTAAACGGTGGTTTGTTTAGATCTGCATTAAAGTTAAAAATCAGCGACAGGAGTGACACGAATAAAGCGTCTGTTGTGTTTATTTCAGATCGCACACGACTACACCTTTCTGGATTACATACTGGGGGGGTGCCAGCTCATGTTTACAGTGAGTATGATGTCAGCACGCCGCTTTTTGTTCCCGCCGCCACATCGTTGCAGTAATGACGTCCATGTTTCTGCTCACTCTGTGCTCCGAAACGGGTGGAAAACATCCAGTGTTTCATTCTTCATCTCCCAGGGTTGCAGCTGGATCGCAGTCATTTACATACAGAGAGGGAGAAGGGTGTGTGTATGTGTATGTGTGTGTGTGTGTGAGAGAGAGAGAGAGAGAAAATGAGCACAGTAAAGAAGTAATAGAGTATTGTGAAAAGCTGAAAGGCTCTCCACAAGGTAAATGTGAAGCTATTGTGACTAAAACGAGTTTGTGATTTCCAAACGGGAATGATAAACAGGAAAACGGTGTTGGAATGGAGCGAGGGGTGAGAAAACTTGTCAGGGTTTATTTTTGTCTCCTGTCAGGAGAAACACTGATGTCACACCTTTCTGTGGAACTGTGAGAGTGACAGAAAATCTTCCTTTACAGCATCCAGAAGCAGCGGCTCACACACTGAGATGTTTCACGATGGTTCTGGGTGAGAAAGCCAGAAGGCTGGGTGAAATAAACTAAAGGTGAAACGCGAACACCTGAAGGAAACCTTCAGTGTGATGTTTAGAACAACTTACATGAAATCAGCAGCGAGTCAGAATCGTTCCTGTGTCACGGGGAAAGCTAGCATTCATGGACATTTAGAACAGATTACACTTAAAATTATATTTTTTTCAACACTCTTACATAAAGATCCAAAAGTTAAAACATACAAATAAAAATATTAAAACTAATGAAAAACAGTCAGCCGATAGAAAACAGCAGGCTGTCACAAAAGGAGCTGAGAACACCAACAAGGATCAGGCGGAGAAGAAAGAAAACCAGGGAGGAGATAAACGCCGAGAGGAGAGTAACGAGGAGCACAAATCACACGGTGATCCACAAATAAAAAAAAGGAAAACAGGAACAAACGAAGCTGCAGCGACACAGCAGAGCAGAAACAAGTCCAAAATGGTCCTGAAATGTTTTGGTTTGCTGGTTAAGATAAATTATCGGTCCTGCTCAGTTCTCTAATACCTCACCTGTGCCTCATCTTTCCCTCCACGGAAGTGGAGGGTGCCTCAGGGCCCAGTCTTGGGGCCCCTCCTATTTTTCATTTATCTGTGACCCTTGGGACAAGTTTTTCAGCATCACGGCACCAGCTATCACATCTATGCTGAGGACCAGTGGCGGATTTAGCAATTTGGGGGTCCAAGACGAACACAGACATGGGGCCCCCTTACACTAAATTTTCGACAATCTTATCTTTAACGTATTTGTGGTCTTATGGCACTTGGCAAACAACAATCTGGGGCATTACTGCCACCATTTGGATTGGAGTGGAATGACTACCAATCACTTCCTGTTTGTGCTTCGGCGTCTTAAAGTTATAGTCCATTGTGGCATTAACAGAGGGGTGCCAGCAATCAGGGCTAGGGGGCCCCCCAACATAAGGGGGCCCCAGGCGGCCGCTGACCTATGCCTAATGGTAAAACCACCACTGCTGAGGACTGTCAGATTTACTTGGCAATAAAAGGACCAGACACAGACGTCCAAGTTGTAAATCGTCTCTCTGATGTGACGGAACGGTTAGCTGCAAACGTCTAAATGAGGCAGAGACAGAGTCGGTTCTTTTCGAGCCTAGAAACTTTTCACATGCATTATCTGTTCCCAGTTCACCGTGTATTGAGCCCAAACAATGTCATAGCCATGGTGTGAAACTGGACGCAGGATTTTCTGTGGTAATTTGACACGCCTGAAGCCAATCCTGAAACACTCGCATTCGGAGTCCCTGATACATGCTTTTTTTTTTACCATCATCTGGACTACACAACTTCACTGTTCATTGGTTTTCCTGCTGCAGCTGCAGCCGGAGAGTGCAGAATGCTGCTGCTAGATCTCTGCCGAACACAAACAGACGTAGTCCCATCACCCCGGTTTTGGCACGCCTACACTGGCATTGAATGGCGTCGCAACCTCCTGCCAGAGCTGCTCACGCCATATGTGCACTCTCGAGGTCAGCTGACCACTTGCTGCTGAGGAACTCCAAAATGAACTATAAAGTGAGGGGGGGGGGGGGGGGGGGAGCGGGCGTTTATGTACAGTACAAGCCAAAAGTTTGGACACTCCTTCTCATTCAATGTGTTTTCTTTATCTTCATGACCATGACCATTTACAAAGGGGCCAACAAGTGCTAAACACGTCTGTGAGCTCCTTCAAGAGAATGCCAAGTGTGTGTAAAGCAGTCATCAGAGCAAAGGGTGGACGAAAATAGAATATAAAACATGTTTTCGGTCATTTCACCTTTTTTTTTTTGGTTAAGTACAAAACTCCACATGTGTTCATTCATAGTTTTGATGCCTTCAGTGAGAATCTCACAATGGAAACAGGCTGATAATGAAATATAAACACAAAATACAATTAATGTACCAACAAACCCCTCATAAAAGCCAAGAGGAGCTGATTTCATAGCGTGCGTCTGGTGACTTTGGGGCAAATGGAGACAACGTTCACACAGACGCGTGTCTCACTGTCACAGCCTGTTTCTCTCACCTTCCTGCTGAAACGAGCCTTTAAAGCAGAGAGGGTTGTTGCTGTTGCCATAGTGATGCTTTGTGAATCCTGGAAAAAATAAGGTATGAGTGAGATTGAGAAGAGGAGAACTGGGTTAGAGTCATAAAGCTGTATCCGTCTGTTTGCATTAAAGCGTTAAAACAAAGCTGTTAGCAGCAAGGGTCTGAAACAACATTTAAAAGGTTCATTTGGAGCCATGCGAGAGATGCTTTTAGTACCTTTTACTACTGATTGTTTTAATCATCCACCTCCAGATGAATCATCAGCTGGTGTGGATCGGGCCTCTGTTTGCTTCAGTACTTCAGCACAGCTGCTCTTGTTTCATCTTTGACTAAAATGTTTATTCAACTCTCAGCGATATAAAAGTCAGAAAGTAAAAATATAAATAAAACACTGAAAAGACTTTTAGAAAAGGTTAATTGACTTTTCAATCAATCAATCATCAATCAATCAATCAATCAATCAATCAATCAATCAATCAATCAATCAATCAATCAATCAATCAATCATCAATCAATCAACCAATAATCAATCAATCAATCAATCAATCAACCAATCAATTAATCAATCAATCAATCAATCAATCAATCAGTCAATCCTTTATTAATCCCAGAGGGAAATTAGAGTTTCAGTACACACAATTCAGAGATCAGACATACATGGTCAAGGCACATGACAAGAATTGGTGACTGTGGTCATTCGGAACCCTGAGTCGCGCTACCTTAATAGATATAAGAGGGTTACACGAGGATTGGTTCAGGTGGAGGGAAAAACAAAGGCACTTCAGAGTTACCCTGCCACCAGGAGGGCAGATTTGCTCGGCAAAAAACACCTCAGACATGTATGCAACAGACTTCAGACAACACAACATAACATGAGACTCCAATAGGAAGGTGGGGTGGGGGGTGGGGGGGTTGGGCTGGGATCCTGTTTGCCCCAGCGAGAGCAGCCATCTACGGCGCTCATCTACTGTACAGTCACAGGTAGGAGGGAGATCTCGGGAGAAGCAAAGAGCACATTGACTCCTACAGATTGATGACCTCGCCAGGCTGAAGTCCAACAATCCGAAGGCGGGGGGGGGGGGGGGGGGGGGGGTCGGGTTTTCACAGCATCTGTCTGCATTCCTTCGTGGGGGTTTGATGCTTGCAGCTCAAGGCTTCCAGGGCGTCAGATTCAGATAAGAATTTGTTTGGGTCAGGCTGAGATAATTTCTTATCTGCCTTCAGTCTTTAAACTGATCATTCCAGTCCTTCAGTGAAGCCAATTTTGGGTTTTAAGCTTGTCCATACCGTCCGGTGACTCTCTCCGAGATGACATCCATTTTGCGCACTAATACCGGATTCACAGCTAGAACATTGTCCAGCTTATGATTCACCTCGAGTAACGTCCCAGTCTGAGAAGTCTCCACATGGACGGTGCTTTTTGTGGGTGCAGGTCGCCCTCCAATCGCTCCCGTCTTCCCAAATTTCCAGAAAACCAGATATCCTCCCACTCCAATCAGGAGAAATCCAGTGATCATCAGGCCGAATATCACACGTCTTCGATATTCTCAATGGACAGCTGGCTGAGGCATATGATCTTCCACTCCTTCCAGGAATCCAGCATATATCCCACCGGGTGTGTCCCCTGTGGACATGTGGGAGCCCCCTGCTCCGTTCTCATTGTTTTGCTGCAGATCCTTCTTTTTCCAGTTCTTCCTGTTGGAGCATGGAATGTATAACCATGAGAACACACACACACACACACACACACACACACACACACACACACACACACACACACACACACACACACACACACACACACACACACACACACACACACACACACACACACACACACACACACACACACACACACACAAGCGCAGGTGCTGTTCTCCAATGTTCTGTGAGATTTTAATCCTAATCTCCAGGAGGAGAAAGTCTCTCCTCGTCATGGTGGGAGCTGGAGGACAGAGAAACGTTTTTACAAAACGCAAAAAGAAAACCTGCAAAAGTAAAACGGCTCATTTTAACTAAATGTTTGAAAAAAAACAAGACCATCCTTATTTAATCTCACCAAAATAAACCTGACATTTGCTAAAGACCTTCACCTCTTAAAATGGAGAGGACAGCGCTTCTGCTTCTGAGACCCAGACTCAAACCTGTCAAAGAATACGAGACATGATGATAAACTTATATTTTATTTATAGAACCCTACAGGAGACTCAAGTGTGCTCATTCAGAATTTCACTAAAACAACAGATGGTGACCTTCAAGAAGAGTTTTCTACTCTGGAAGTCTGAAGAAACAAACAGCTTCTGGTTGGTTTTCAGAGGCGTTAACTCCTCTCCTCTCCTCTCCTCTCCTCTCCTCTCCTCTCCTCTCCTCTCCTCTCCTCTCCTCTCCTCTCCTCTCCTCTCCTCTCCTCTCCTCTCCTCTCCTCTCCTCTCCTCTCCTCTCCTCTCCTCTCCTCTCCTCTCCTCTCCTCTCCTTAATTGTGGTTTTGAATTGACTCTGAGCCTGAAGCAAAGAACGAGTATGGATGTCTGTCATCACATTCACAGCCGCCACACTAATAACGTCTGTCACTAGCGAGGGCGTCGGAGGACGAACACTGTAATAGTTCAGGGATGATTTTCATCCATCATGTGCCACTTGTCAGTGACACGTTTTCAGACGCGAAACAAAATAGATGTAGAGCAGAGGAGGAGGATGGGCAGCGTGAGCATGCTCTCCAGGAACATTTTCTGCTTGGCAGCAAAAACATTCTTAACCTTTTAACGAGCGAGGGAGCGGATCGAGTCGCTGTTCAGCTTTTTCAGGCTTGATTTGCAGCCGAAACAACAAACTGCTGTAAACATACATAAAGTGTTTTTAATATCTTTCAAGTCATAATCAAGAGTTGAAACTTGGCATTTTGAAAACAATGAAATGTTTTATATGGCTTCATCAGAACGTGATCTTCAGCTTTCGCTGGAGCGGTTCGCAGCCGAGTGTGAAGCAGCTGGGATGAGAATCAGCTCCTCTAAATCTGAGACCATGGTCTTGATGCGGAAAAGGGTAGAAAGCCTTCTCCGGGTCAGGGATGAGGTCCTGCCCCAAGTGGAGTTCAAGTATCTCAGGGTCTTGTTCACGAGTGAGCGAAAGATGGAGCATAAGATCGATAGGTGGATTGGTGCTGCGTCTGCAGTGATGCGGGCGTTGTACCGGTCTGTCGTGGTGAAGAGAGAGCTGAGTCAGAAGGCGAAGCTCTCGATTTACCGGTCGATCTACGTTCCTACCCTCACCTGTGGTCATGAGCTTTGGGTAGTGACCGAAAGAATGAGATCGCGGATACAAGCGGCCAAAATGAGTTTTCTCCGCAGGGTGTCTGGGCTCTCCCTTAGAGATAGGGTGAGAAGCTCAGTCATTCGGGAGGGGCTCGGAGTAGACCCGCTGCTCCTTCACAGTGAGAGGAGCCAGTAGAGGTGGCTCGGGCATCTGGTCAGGATGCTTCCTGGACCCCTCCTTGGTGAGGTTTTCCGGTCACATCCAACCAGGAGGAGACCTAAAGGTAGACCCAGGACACGTTGGAGGGACTATGTCTCTCACCTGGTCAGGGAACGCCTTGGGATTCCCCCGGAGGAGCTGGCCCGAGTGGCTGGGGAGAGGGAAGTCTGGGCCTCCCGCCTTAGGCTGCTGCCCCTGTGACCCGACTCCGGATAAGCGGATGAAAATGGATGGATGGATGGATGGGTAATATTAGTTTATACATTGAAGAAGTGACATCATCTGTAAGGTCAAACGAATGCTTTTCATTAGAGTTTAAAATATTTTTTCTTCATCTTCATGTGAAGGAAGCAGCTTCAGTCATTTATAGTTTTGCTGTTTTTGCAGGTAGTCATGTGTCTTCATCCCTAATTGAAAAAAACACTTCATACACTTTGATTTCAACACATTTTTAACACCAATAATCTTTACATTTGTCAGATTTTAGTATTAAAACTTTAAAATAGACTTGACTTTGGACTATTGTGCAACCAAAGCTGAACAATTTATTAAACAAAAGTCCTTTGATTTCACTTTTTCAAAGTTGGGTCAAGTCCAGCGTTTCCTGAGGGAACCCAAGGCATTCCCATTTTCCAGAGGGGACATAGAAACCCTCCAACTGTTTCTAATTCTCCTCCCAGTGGGACAGGCTCAGACATCAACCAGAAGGAGGCAACCAGTGACCACCTCAGCTGACTCGTTTTGATGAGGAGGAGCAGCTCCTCCACCACCCATATTTCAGGGGGATACATATGTATGAGCAGATTATAGATTTTTAGGCTGGATTACTGCAGATGAAGCACTGATCCACCGGTCCATCACTAAGGTACTCATCATCTGCTAACAGTGGAGACGAGTCTCTGATGGTCACTTTTTTATCAACACCTTGAGATCAGAGCCATGAAACAGGACCAGAGAGGGAGCTGCAGTCCAGAAGTCCTACCCAAACTGTTTGTCAGCTTAGAAAGGTGTAGAGAAAAGATCAAGTTTAAACGTTTGGTGCTAAAAAGCACTGGGTCTGAAACAACAAACACACTTTGCTCTTTGTGCTGTTGAAGCCGGATTAGGATAGGGAGGTGACTTCAGTAGGAACAAACCATTCAACCGCACCCCGATTCTGTCCCTCTGCATCTCTGAGTTTCTCCTCCTGATCTGTAAGCTCTTCAAACTTTGACCTCTCACCCATCTTTGCTGTTTTCCTCCTCATTAAAGAGCAAGTCACCCCCTACAAGAAACTTACTTCACTCCCACTTCATGTTTGAAAAATACAACAAATGCTGTTGCTTGGCAGACCGAGAGGGCGGAGCCGCTAACAAATACACACTCACAGGCTCACAATGACATTATGACATCATAATGTACCAGATGACATCATAGCATACCTCTTAGCCAATAGCGTTGGCAGATTTAAATTCAAAAACAGTGCAGAATTTTTCCCTGACTACGGCACAACACTGACAGTTTTAGGCAGAATATTTGAATTTTAACCAAGATGCACTGAACTGCCCAATTATTGACTACACGTGTCTGTAGCATGATTAGACACTCCTTTATATAGTTTATCAGCAAAAAAATTTGATTTGGGGGTGACTTGCTCTTTAAATTGTTGTTTCGTGAGACTCCTCACCGCTCCTGCCAACCAGGAGAGGAGGAGATAGGCCAGACCAAGACTGAATAAGCTGTAAGGGGTTGAGGAGGTGGAGATCTTCGGTGGGATTCCTGTCAGCACACATGGCGCTGTTCAGCGCCGGAGGAGAAGCCTGTCACTTTTAATATCATGTTGTGTTAGTTTGCATGCGAGTGGGAATGTGTGTAAACGGGCCTGTTGTTCCATCTGTGTGCGTTTCAGCCTGTATTTGTCCATCATGTGTGTCATCACCGTGCTTTCTATCAGTTTTAAAATAAACCCCTCTGACTTCAGGGCCAGGACTTCTTCTCTGGACCCCCACTGGGCTACAGTACTATTTTAAATGTCAAACATAAGCGGTGAAGTGTCTACCAGCACGCATTATTTGTGTTCTCCAAGTTTAGCAGATATAAATAAGGCGCCTCCATTGTTCTGATGAAACTGTGAGGCAGAAAAGCAGCTGCAAAAGCAGCTGGAGAGACAACATGTGACTGTAATCCATCGTGTCAGCTGACCCTTAAATAAGCTGCGAGAGCGATGTTGGAATATACAAAATTAGGCTGTCAGGGGGCTGATAGGCTGGATAACGAGATGCTCAGTTTTCCAGACTTCCCAGTTTCACAAGTTTCTCTTATTTTCCTGCAGACTTTCACTTGACTCCATAGAACACCCCCCAGCTCTGTCTCCATCCAACTGTCAAACCGATTTCAGCCAAACCTTAGAACCGTTTCTTCACTGGAACGGGAGCCAGAGGTGTTTTTGTTGTCCGTAACCCTTCAGGTGATGGAGCGGTCACCAGGACGCTATAGGAGATGTTGTTCATGTTTGTGAAGAACATTTTGGTATGAGTGCTTTGCTGTAATAGAGAAAAGTAGAGGCCAGGTACGTTTTTAAATGTAAATAAAAACCTTTTAGAGCAACATCAGAAACGCCCTTCCCAAAGCAATTTGTTCCACACGACCATAACAAGATCATGAGATAAATGATCATGTTTAAAAATATCAAAGATCTCCAAGACTCCCTCTGATTTACCCTCCGTGTTTTATAGGTGGGAATAGACTTCACGGCGTCTAACGGGAACCCGCGAGAGCCGTCCTCCCTCCACTACATCAACCCGCTGGGCAGCAACGAGTACCTCTCTGCTATTTTAGCGGTGGGACAAATCATACAGGACTACGACACGTGAGTAACGACAGCAGACCTTTCAGATGTTTGCGTTTTCAGACAAAGTTTAGGTCGCCTGCCAGACTTTTAGACTTTGGTGGGCACTTTCTATCTGCAGGGGGGAAACCAGGCGGAGCACTCACTAATAAACCCCAAAATATGAAACACTATAACGATTCTTAACAACATGTTTCATTTAAAAGTGAAACCCATACAATACAATAATATGAGGAACTCTTCTCTTTGCCATATACACCACCTCACTGGGTGAGGTCATTCGATCACATGGCTTCTCCTACCACTGCTATGCAGACGACACCCAGCTCTATCTGTCATTTCCACCGGACGACCACACTGTCTCTGCACGAATATCAAACTGTCTCTCTGACATATCAAAATGGATGAAATCCCACCATCTCCAACTCAACCTCTCTAAAACTGAACTACTTGTCATCCCAGCAAAACCATCCATACAGCACAATATCTCAATCCAAAATGACTTCCTATCTCTGGCTCCTTCAAAGGCAGTTCGAAATCTGGGTGTTGTGATTGATGAACACCTGACCTTTAAAGATCACGTTGCCTCTGTTGCTCGTTCATGCCGCTTTGTGCTGTATAACATACGAAAGATCAGACCATACCTAACACAACATGCCACCCAGCTCCTGGTGCAATCTACTGTCATCTCCCGCCTCGATTACTGCAACGCCCTTCTAACTGGTCTTCCAGGCTGTACTGTGAGACCTCTTCAAATGGTCCAGAACCCAGCGGCGCGTCTGGTCTTCAATCAGCCAAAAAGAGCACACGTCACCCCTCTGTTCATTGAGCTCCACTGGCTACCACTAGCTGCACGCATCAAATTCAAATTGCTAACACTAGCATACAAAGTCCGAGACGGTACGGCTCCCATCTACCTGAATCCTCTTGCAAAGGCTTACGTCTCAGCCCGGCTGCTCCGGTCATCACAGGATCGTCGGCTAGCAGTGCCTACACCACGCTCAGGACAATCCAGACTCTTCTCATGCATCGTTCCACAAATGTGGAATGACCTTCCAAGCACTACCAGAACAGCGGCTTCCTTTTCGATTTTCAAGAAACTCCTGAAGACCCTGCTCTTCAGAGAGCATCTTCTAAACTAGCACCCTCCCTGCACCCGTCCCCCCTCTCTACTGTCCACTCCTTGTTCCCTCCTCTCCATGATTGATGTCAAGTTGTTGTTGTTAGCCTCAAGGGCAACATGCAGATTATCACTTCTAAGTTGCTTTGGACAAAAGCGTCTGATAAATACATAAACGTAAACATAATATTAACCCTCACACTGTCCTAATGGGTGTGACCCCGCGAGGAAAGTTGACCATTGAGCAGGGTTGGTGGTTTATCCCTTGGGTCCATGTGACAGGGGTGAGGAGTGAGCACCATCTCACCCCTGCCACGTGGACCTCAAGGGATAAACCATCAATCCTGCTCAATGGTCAACTTTCCTCGCGGGGTCACACCCATAAAGACAGTGGGAGGGTTAACCCTTTAGACCTTTTTTCTTTGGGCCCTGGCACCTCCCAATTGGGGGCCTTCGGAGTTTCATGTCCCACATTCTCCGAGCACAGCTACAGCTACAATCAAAACAGTTTAGATTGTAAACAAAGCAATTTTTGGTTTCAATTCAATTCAAAAATATTTTATTATTCCCAGAGGGAAATTGATTGCTATAGTAGCTCATAATAATAATAATAATAATAATAATAATAATAATAATAATCAAGTCATCAAAGAGTTATTGTATATTACAATGGCTGTTGGCAGGAAGGATCTCCAGCAGCGGTCAGTGTTGCAGCCAAACTGAAGAAGCCTCTGACTGAAGACACTCTTCCGTTGTCGGACAGTCTTGTGAAGAGAATGCTCAGGGTTGTCCATCATTTTCTTGATTCTCTGGAGAATCCTTCTTGGCATTATCTCCTCCAGCGGTTCCACAGTCGCCCCCAGAACAGAACCAGCCTTTTTTATTAGGCTGTTGAGCCTTTTCAGGTCCCTGCTTCTGATGCTGACCAGCACCTGATTTATCATTGCCCTTTATGATCGATGGAAGAGATGGTTTGAATTTCCTCTTTCTCTGTCTCCGTTTTGCACCCCGCTCTGCACCCACGCTTCTTGCGTTTTAGCGTTTTAGCTCATTTGGGATTTGTGGCTTCGGTTGAGGTATTATTTCAACCTTTCCAATGTTAATCAGCTGCTCCCGATAGTAAACCAGCTTGTTGCCATGGTTACGCATCATAACAAATGCTCAAAAAGTGAAAAAAGTCAAAAAATTGCAGTAAAAATCCTCCAAGCTTCACAGCGCCAGAAACAGAAAAGTAAAATGTAAAAAAAAATACAGTTTTTCTTGAGAAACTAGAAGAAAAAATGTCCAAAAAAAGGCAAAACTTACATAAAGTCAACAGAGCTACTCCAACATGCCCAGAGCAGCGCAGTTCCGGACCAAATTGTCTTTAATTCAGTTATTTCTCTGTGTGAGATGATTTTAACACCATGATTGGTCTCAGTTTGCCTTGGATTTGTTGGACATGTGTCTAATGTGGCATCTGAGCGGACATACTCATAAACGCTTTTTAGACTTGAAGGAATTTTTCATTTGAACTGACTGCAGTCGTTGTAATTCATGCATGAACGGAATCCTTTAAACTCTGGGTGATGATTCTTCTTTAATTCCTACAGCAGGGGCAGCATGACCTGCAGGTCATGGGATGACATTTAACAACCAAATTTAACTTTCTACCATTTTATTTTAGTTCCAGAAGTTAGAAAACTTTCTTACATTTGTTCAAAGAATTATTCGTTTTCATTACATTGATTGCAAAGTCTCAATCACAGGTTTTATTGTGGATCAAAAGATGGAAAACTGTCCTAACTTGTATGATAGATGCATGAACTACCCTCTGAGGTACGTTGCTGTGGCAGCAGCAGCAGCAGCAGCAGCACACAAATCCACGGATATGATCTAAGTCTTTTACTCAAGACGATAAAACATGATGCTAGATGTCACGAACAGCCAAATACTTTTGCAGAATTCACTCAAAATGATACAATGACAGTTTGTTCTGGAGCAAAATGTTCTTTTTCTTGCTTCTCTTCCAGTTTTCTGTAAACCTCTCAACGTGTTTCTATGAGAACGAGGTCGCAGGATTTCCTTTGCCATCTTGTTGCATTTGAATGAAAAGATGAAAAAAAAAAACACATTTAAGTAACGTTCCAATCTGTTGTCATGGTTTCCTCCTCAGCGACAAAATGTTTCCTGCTCTTGGATTTGGAGCCCAACTCCCACCTGACTGGAAGGTACACGCGTGTCCGTGTTGCATGTTGCATGCAGCGTTGTGATCACAGATCAGAACACGAGGGCGGGGTTTATTATTTGTAAGCTTACAGTTAGCGTATAACACTGTACGCATCACAAATGCATATTCAGATGATTATGCAACTGTCAACCCATCTGCGTTACCATGGCGCCGAGCTGATGAAAAGGACAAAGAAGCCGAGCACAGAGAGATGGAGGGAGGGAGACACTGACAGTGTTTCTGAACAATATTTTACATTTAATCTCATTTGTTGTTTGTTTTTAAGGTGTCACATGAGTTTGCCATCAACTTTAACCCCACTAATCCTTTTTGTTACGGTGAGTTCATCACATCACAGAAACCGTCGCTGCAGGTGAAAAACTATTCAAATCCATTTTAGTTTAGTCAAACTCAGCCTGATTAACACACGTTTGGTAATTTGACCCAATTGTTTTTAACATGAACTCAAACTCGTGTGATTTATACCATTTTTGCCAACCTAATATGTGCATCTGTTTTTTAGATTTTAACTAAACTTTTAAAAATGTATCATAAATAAAATTTTAGGATCAAAATTAGGCTGTGTAGAAAAAGTTCATTCACTGACTACACAGTGTTAACTATGTAGTACACTATAGAGCTCCGGACGTCACGTGACTCTCAGAGAGTAGACGCCATGTTGGCAGGCAACAAAGGTAAACAAAATGAACGGGATCGGCTTGGATTTTACTTAGTCGGAGTTTACTTCACACTTTAAACCCGAAGAAATCATTTTATATAGTCAGAAATTAAATAGACTAAACATCTCCGACCCTTACCGTGCCCCTGGGATACTTTTTAAAAACGCCAGAAGCTGTCGGAGCGGACTTCTTACCGGACCTGGCCGGGGAACGCCTTGGGATTCCCCTGGAGGAGCTGGCCCAAGTGGCTGGGGAGAGGGAAGTTTGGGCCTCTCGACTTAGGCTACTGCCCCCGCAACCCGACTCCAGATAAGCGGATGAAAATGGATGGATGGACGGACAAATAACATAGATTTACATGTAAGTAGTTTAAATAGAGTGCTGTGCTGTTTGAATGTATAAACTGAACGCCAAGAGAAATCACTAGTCTGATATTTTTCTGTGAATAAAATAAAAATGTCATGCAGGAGCGGCTCAGGATCTGTCTGAGATCTGACTCGGTGAGACAGATAATAGCAATCCAAAGTGCTTTTTATGTGTGATCTGACAATTGATCAACCATTGCTTAAAAATTAATTACAGCTCAGCCGGTTAATTGCTGTGATCATAAATCACGTAAACGGCAGCACGCAGAAACACGAGGCAACGTTGTACGTGACGTTTACTTGCTGCTATGAGTAATAAGACAGAAAAAGCCCCGCCATAATACGTTTAGGAAGCCCACTAAGAATCGTAATAAAAGCATTTAAAATAAACACCATACACAGTTGAGGAAACGTTGGTTTAAGTACCTGATATGAAGCGGTCGCTGCATAAGTGAAAACCTTTACTCTCAGGATCCCACAGCTTCATTTTAGCCTGGAGACTAGTGCGTTTTATTACAATGATCCAACGTTTGCGGCACTCCGGATCTTGGGGAATCCTGTAGATGGCTCATTCCTTTTGTCGTCCGCGTCTGTTCTGCATCCTGGGGCACAACAGGAATCTACCATATTTCCCGTTTGAGTTTTCTGACAATAACAAATAGTCCAGCTGCGGGCTTCTGCCTGCCAATATGGCGCCGTTTCGATTTGAACTGTTGCATGCCTGGAGAAGTGACGTCAACTCCCGGAGCTCTATAAAGGAGGTATGGAACAGCCCAGTGTTAACCAAATAAACCCAGGTAGGATTCACCTGAACACATCTGGATTTGGGGTAGGGACATCTCATTGTTTAGTCTGAACCACAATACTTTTGTGTTTTCATGTCCTTCAGCTGAGCCAGAGGAGACGAGGTGCTCACAGCTCAGAAAACCAACGAGTCAGAAAATAACTAGCATGTATGTCTTGGAGGCTCAGGTCACAGTGCACTATGGCGTTTCTACTTTTTGTGACCAGTTTCTCGGACCTTGCACGGGGAAAAGAGACTTTAAACCATACAGCTCTAAAACTGACTCACTTAAGAGTGAATGAGTGATTGTTTTGAGAACAGCCTTATAGCTGCAAGTCAACACGTGAACATAACCGGGATTTGGCCAAAATGACTAACTACCTGAACTACTATTTACTTTAAATTACTTTAATTTTTGATTGTTTATTTAAACAGCCCCATGTGCACATATATTTTTATGTAATTATAATTTTCTTGAATGTGCTGTTAAATATTTTAACTCTGATAGTTATTCAGGAAAATGTAGTTTATTATGAAATTGTTAAAGCATTGTTTATAGTTACTCATTGGTTTACTTGCATGTCTCTGTCCTCCTGCAGGTGTGGAGGGCATCGCTCAGGCCTACTCCACCTGCCTCCCTCACATTCGGTTCTACGGCCCGACAAACTTTTCTCCGATCATCAACCATGTAGCGCGCTTTGCTGCTCAGGCCCTTCAGCAAGAGAAGGCAGCG